ATAGATACACACACACATAGATACACATACACATACAGACACACACAGACACAGAGATATACACACAGGCACATACACATATAGACACACACACAGCCACATACAGACACACACAGACACACACATACAGACACACAGATATACACATAGACACATACAGACACACACACAGACATACATACACACTCAGACAGACACACACACACACACATACACACATACGGAGGTGGGGGAGAGTGATGTGGGATGACCTTCTGTATATGTGTTGCTTTTATTGGTTGATGAATAAAACTGTTTTGGCCAATGGCTTAGCAGAGTAAAGCCAGGCGGGAAATCTGAACAGAGATATAGAGAGAGTAGGCAGAGTCAAAGAGATGCCATATAGCTGCCTAAGGAGAAAAATGCCAGAATCTTACCAGTAAGCCACAGCCTAGTGGCGTTACACAGATTAATAGAAATGGGTTAATTTAAGATATAAAAGCTGGTTAGGAATATGCCTGAGTCATTGGCCAAACAGTATTGTAATTAATATAGTTTCTGTGTGATTATCTGGGTCTGAGCAGTCAGGAAACTAAGTGCAGTCTCTGTCTGGAGGAGGGGACACTGAGACTTCCCTGTCCTTATTAAGTTCCTTTCCATATATTACTACTTTTGTACATAACCTTGTGGTCGATCACTCTGAGGTCAGACTTTGTTTGGTTTCCAGGGCTGTCAATCATTAGGCTCCTCCTCTGGCTGTCCCTCAGCATCCATGCATCCTGTGAACATGTCCCCTTAATCCTCCTAGTACTACCCCCAGCTTCACACACTCCCAACTGCTTTAAATTCTCAGCCAACTTTTACATAAGTTTACCTCCTCTGGAGTGCCTCCCCTCCCCTGCACACACCTTACTTCCCTCCCCTGCGCACACACCTCCAACAGCCACCACAGCAGTTTATACTTGGAGGACACACAATTTACCACTTAACCCCACAGCCCAGGACTGGGCAATAGAGGTGTTTGAGGTAGGTGCTGCTATCACCCTTGTGAGATGGTCAAGACTTTGAAGACGGGCTGTGTACGTGTGGGTTTCTGTCAGTAGCCCAGAGTCAGGCATGTTCTCTAACCTCACAGAGGATAAAGCAGGGCTCTCTGGGACACTCTCAGCACCACACAGTTGAAATAAAATACTACCGATCCCTCTATGAATAGCCTTAGAGTGTCCCAGATAATTCCTTGCACCCCCGGCTCCCTAAAATGCAGGGGT